CGGCAGCTGCGGACTCCCCCCGAGGGGGGCCTGCGCCTCGGGGGGCGCCATGGGCTGCCTCGGGTCGCTCTCCCCGAGGGCGCCCTGGGGCGACCGGGGGCCTCGGCGGGTGCCACCCCGAGCCCCGGGGCGCGCCGCGCAGCTCAGGGAGGGGGGGGGGAGGGGCGATCGGCACCTGCAAGGGCCCTCTCCACAGGGGGCCCGAAGGGGCCCCCTGGGGCCCGAGAAGTGCACCTTTCTCCCCTCCCCCCCTCCCCTCGGTTGTGGCGTCCCCGTGAGGCGACGCCCAGCGGCTGGGCGAGGCGGCGAGGGCTGCGTGCTCGCGTGGCCGCGCGAGTGCCCAGCAATCGGCCCAGGGCGGACGGCTGCGCCAGCTGTGCGCGTGCGCATCCGGCGCGGGGTCTCCGCATGCTCTCCGCGCGCTCGGGTCTGGGCCGCGTGTGCTGCCAGTGTCTGTTGGCCTGGTGGCAGCTGCCAGGGGAGGCCCTGGCGAGCGCAGGGCAGGCCACCGAGGAGGAGGGCCGCCCAGTCTGCGGCCCGCGCGGAGGGGCCGCTGTCGCCCGAGCGTTCCGCGTGCAGAGTCCGCGAGGGGAACGACGACCAGGGCGGACACGAGGACGGTTCAGACGACCACCAGAGCGACAAGGAGGACGAGGCTGAGGATGACGCCGGGAAGGCGGGGGCGGGCGATGGCGAGGACGAGAGCGACGACGAGTGCGAGGGGGAGGGGGAGGGGGAGGGGGAGGGGCGGAAAGGGGAGGACGAAGAGGGGGGGTGCAAGTGGGGAGTGCCACTGTCAGGTGTGCGCGCATCATATCTGACTAGAACCACGCGCGCGCTTCGCGCGCGCTAAGGTTCTAGTCGATTCCGAAGACGGTGTCTATTTCCATGAGACATTTTCCATGTGGTCTTCCGGGCTCCTCCCTTTCACCCATGCGTGATTTTCGGGCGGATGCGGCGAAGTTCAAGGAAGGGTTTGGCTTGTAGCGTACCAGCGACGACCGACGACGACTACGACGACGACGACGACGACGACGACGACGACGACGACGACGACGACGACGAGAACGGACCACCGACGATCAGCATCATTGTCACCTAGTCCACGTGTGCGGGAGAGGCGTTTCCGGAGCGTCTTGCAGGCGTCATGGGGGCGTCCTCGGGCCTCGACATTGGGTGGGCGGGTCGGGGGGTGCAGCCAGGGCCACGTGTTGCGAAGGGCTGTTCCGGAGCATGGAGGACGAAGGGCGTCTGGCGGGCTTCTGAGGGTCTGTGTAGGAGGCCTCCTGCGAGCTCGGTGGGTGTTTCTCGGGAGCTTCTCGGGTCTTTCTGGAGCCCTTTTGTCGTCGTGGAGGCCTCCTGGGAGTCTCTTGGGGCCTCCTGGGTGTCTCTGTTCGGGCAGAGGGCGCCTCTGTTCGGGCATTTGGGGGGCTCTCTGGAGCCTCCTGAGAATATCTTGGGCCAGCTTGGGAGCCTCTGGTGCCCCTTCTGAACCCTCTTGGAGCCCTCAAGGCCCCCCCGGCCCCCCATGCGAACCAGAGGTCGCAGATCTGGGCCCATCCCGCCACCGTGTCTCGGTTGTGGGTTAGAGGCTTCTCGGATGTTCGCTGGGATGATATCGTGGGATGCCTCTCGGGGGGCCTTTTGGAAGCAGGTTTGAAGCCTCCACGGGGGCGTTGTGGAGCTTGTCGGACCTCTCTTAGGCATCTTTGGGGCCTGTTTGGAGCCTCTTTGAGCCTCTTGGGGTCTCCTGGGGGCCTCTGGGGGCGGAAAGCTCGAAAGGTCGGTTCGCGTTCCCTCTCTTGGGCCCATCTTCGAGCCGTCTTCAGGCCCTCTTCAGGCCTTCTTGGGCCGTCTTGGGGGTCTCTTGGGCCGATCATGTGGCCCTCTTGGGCCGTCTTGGGGGTCTCTTGGGGGCCTCTTGGGGCGAGTTTGGAGGCTTCTTGGGCAGTCTTGGAGTGTCGGCCGCTCGAGAACGTGAGAAAGGAAAGAGCGTGTTCTACCGCTGCTGGCGGAAAACCGGGGGGGGTCACTACCGGTTCGAACCCCTCCCCCCCCCCCCCTCCGGAAAACCGGGGGGGGTCACTACCGGTTCGAACCCCTCCCCCCCCCCCCCAACTCATCATGAAAAGGGGGGGGGTCACTACCGGTTCGAACCCCTCCCCCCCCCCCTCCGGATCCGGAAAACCGGGGGGGTCACTACCGGTTCGAACCCCCCCCCCCTCGAAAACCGAGTGGGGGTGCGGACAGTGGTGGGGACGGTGTTGGTGGGGACAGTGGTGAGGGGATAGCGGGACAGTGGTGGGGACAGTGGGACAGTGGGACAGTGGTGGGGACGGTAGTGGTGGGGACAGTGGTGGGGACAATGGTGGGAACAGGGGGGGACAGTGGACAGTGGTGGTGACGGTGGTGGTGGGGACAGTGGTGTGGGGACAATGGGAATGAGGTGGAAACAGTGGGACAGTGGAGGGTACAATGGTGGTGGGGACAGTGGTGAAGGCGGTGGCGAGGACGGCGGTGGGACAATGGGACAGAGGTACAGTGGGGACAGTGGTGGGGACAGTGGGGACAGTGGTGGGAACAGTGGGACAGCTCAGTGGGACAGCGGAGGAGTCAGTGGGACAGTGGGGACAGTGGGGATAGTCGGGCAGTGGTTGGGGCCGTGGAGACAGTGGGGAGAGTGGAACCGTGGTGGGAACAGTTCTGGGGACAGCGGGGACAGTGCGACAGTGGTGGGGCCACTGGTGGGGACAGTAGGGGCGGTGGTGGAACCAGTGGGGACAGCGGTGGTGAGGACAGTGGTGCTGGGAACACCAGTGGGGGATGTGATGCGGACGGTGGTGGGGACAGGGAGTCGTTTGCTGGCGGTGAGTAGGGGGGGGGGGGGGGTTCGAACCGGTAGTGACCCCCACGGTTTTCCGGATCCGGAAGGGGGGGGGGGGGGGGGAGGGGTTCGAACCGGTAGTGACCCCCCCGGTTTTCGAGCGGGAGCGGGGGGGGGAGGAGTTAGGGAGAGGGAGGTTTTGGGGGGGAGGGGGGGGGGAGGGGTCCAGCAGGGGGGGGGGGGGATTTTCGGAGGGGGGGGGGGGGGCGACCCCCGGGTTCCGGAGGAAAAGGTTGGCAATTTTCCACAGTAAAGCGGCGGTGGATCACGCTCTCTCTGAGAAAGCAACACAGATTGGAAAACAACATGAAAATCAATGATTTTGGCGTCTTGGGGCTCTCTTGGAGCTGCTCGCGGAGCGACCTTGGGGCCTCTTGGGGGCCTCTTGGGCCGATCATGGGGCGTCTTGGCGGCTTCTTGCCGTCTCTAGAAGCCTAGGTGGACGCATCGGGGAAGCGGAAAAAGTTCCGCGATTCCGAAAGCGGACCCCTGGATAACAAAAATGGCCCCCGCAGCCCAGGGGGCAAATTCGGTTACGGGTGGGTGGGTGGGAGTTTGGGAAAAGTGTGCGACCCCGGGCCGCGGGGCCACGGACGCCGCTTATGTTATATACGTCCTACCCCTACCATTACCTGGAGCGCCTTCTGAAACGCATAGTCGGATGTCGAAGCGGACGCTTGACCCCGAGAGGGCATACACCGTAAAGCATAGCATGGCCTGCGCTTTGCGTAGCCAATCATTGCATAGCATGGCATTGCACTGCATATCACGGCATGCGGGATCACCCCCTTCGAAGGGCAGACGCACTAAGATGAGGCGAGCGCCGCGTGGGGAGCACTATGCTGAATGACCTAAAACGCAAATGAGACCAACGTCACAGCGGCAACATTGAGAGGGACTGAACATGCGGAAATGAGGCCAATGCTGCAGCGGGAGTACCATGCGGAAAGACCGAGAACGCGGAAATGGAGCTAATGTTGCAGCGGGAACACCACTCTGGAAGGACCGAGAACGTTCGGACTTGAAACATCCACAACACAACATTTGTTGACAAATGCTCACTACTCGGACCGCATAAGAAAGCAATACGCGGAGGTGGGATCGATACTCTCAACACGTCGTCGGGGCAGGTGGAGAGAGGAGGAGGGATGGAGGGAGGGAAAGGCGGACGCGGACGAGTAGGTCGGAGGAGGCGGCGGAAACGCAGGCGGTGGAGGAGCCAGATGGAGGAGGGAGGAGCAACATGACGCGGTGGACGAGGAGGAGTGCGAGCAGCCGCAGTAGGGTCTCCGCCTCACTGCCCACATCAAAGTGGGAAGGGCGGGAGCGATCTGGGGAGCAGGGGACGTGTGTACCAGCATCGCTGGCGCTTCCTGGGTGTGCTCTAGTCATCCGCCGTTTCCCGCGCGAGGCAGGGGGAGGAGGACGGAGAGAGTGGAGAAGACGTTCGAAGAAGAGAAAACGCCAGAAACATAAACTTTTGGCCCTCCGCGCGGATATCTTGGATCCGCGCTGGGCCCCCCAGGCGGCGCCTCGGGCGCAGCCCCTGATTCAAGAAATCCGCGCGGAACGTCAAAAGTATACGGTTATGGCGTGGTTTTATTAGCCTAGACGTGGAGGGGGAGAAGCAGGCCCTCTCCCTCGCAGTCGCCTTCCTTCTTCCTGCTTTTCCTTTCCCCGTCCTCGTTCCTTCCGCCGTCTCCCTCTCCCCTGCAGTTCGTGCCCTCACGGGCGGCCCTGACATGTGCAACGTCTCACGCCGCCGCCGCCTGCGAGTCTTGCATGGTGACTGCCCCATGCGGCTGGCCGTCATATGTTGCCCGATCGTAGCGTTATGACTGTTCCTTGCTTCTACCGCTGCCACTCGAGCGACGCAGGACAGAGCGGGGTCGCCTGCGCCGACGTTGGCGCGCAGGCTGCCCGCGCCAACGTCGCGCGTAGAAGTGCCCCCGTCTCCGGTGTTTTGGCGCGCCTCGCGGGCGGCCCGCGGAAGCCGCCGCGCCTGGCCGCTGCTCCTCGGCCGCTCACTGCATGCCGCTGCGCTCCTCGACTCCGCCGAGCCAGGGCCGGCCTGCGCACCCCCTGGGAGCCCCACGGGGCGGATGCCGGGCGCGGCATGGCCGGGGCCGCTCGCCCCGCGACCGCGGCTCCCGACGGCGGCGGCGATCGGCTTCGACCGCGGCGGCGGCGGCGGCGAGGACGGCGACCGGCGGCGGCGACGGCGACCCGCGGCGATCGGCGTCGGCGGCGACGACGGCGGTGGCGGTGGGCTCGGCGGCGGCGGTGAGCGGTGGCGATTCCCGACGTATGGCGGCGGCGGCGGAGCCGGCGATCAGCCGCGGCGGCGACGGTCGAGAGCGACTGCGGCGGCGGCAGCGATCGTCGACAACGACGGCGAAGACCACGGCGGCGACGACAGCATGCAGCGGCGGCTCGACGACGATCGACGACCACGACGGCGACGGCGACAGCGGCGAGCGTGGGGGGGGGAATGCGGCGGAGGAGGAGCAGTCAGGGGAGGAGGATAGCGGGGACGATGGGGACGAGGAAGGGAGAAAACAGAGGAAGCAGGAGGAGGGATAGGATGGTGAGGAGGAGGAGGAGGAGGAGGAGGAAAAGGAGGCCGGTGCTGCGGGCGCGCACTGACGTGGAAAGGAATGGCAGATGATGAGGGGATCCAGACGAGCAGGAGGGCGGGGGGGGGGGGTGAGGGCAGAGAGAAAGGAATGAGAAAGAGGAGGGCGAGGCGCAGGCACCGACAGAGGAATCTGACGCTGGGTTTGGTGGACGAGGCAGGGCATGCGGGGGAGGGTGTGGGGGCATGAGCAAGAGGGGAAACGACAGCGCAGGGTTTTCGGGGTGGGATATCCATCGAGGGGTGGGCGACTCACTTTCCGACGGAGCTTGCCCACCCCCCACCCCCCTTTCCCTCCTCCTCCTTCTCCTCTTCCTCCTCCAACCCCCCTTCAACCCGTTCAAAAAACACGTACCCAAACCACCCAGCGGATCCCGGGGGGGGCGGGGGGGCGATGATTGCCCCATCCAGTGGAAAGAGAGAGAGAGAGAGAGAAGGAGACAGAGAGAGAGAGAGAGAGACGGCGGGCATCCCAACTTAAGTCCGTTCCGCACTCCTCATGGGGCTCCGAGCCATTTTTTTGTGCAAGCGGCCCACTCGTGTGAATCCCAACAGGTGCTCGGGGGTTGAGTCGGGTTCGGGGTGTCACGTTTTCGCGCTGCTTTCGTGCTTGGTTTTTGGCAAGCAGGGTTTGCGTTTATGTTGTGTTCGCCCTCCCGCCCAATTGCGGAGCCTGCGCCATCATGTGTTTGTTCTTCATGTATCCGCCCTCCCGCCCAAGTGCGGCTGGGCCACGGACCCGTTCGGTCCCCAACCCAAGATGCACGTCGCCCGCGCGGAATGAAGGAGGTCTCCCTCGCCGCGAAGCTGGGGGGCCTTCCTTGCCAGGAGGGCTGGACAGAGATCTCTCCCTTGTGATGCTGGGGTGGAGGATGAGGAGAGGAGCAGGAGGTGGTGGATGCGCAGGAGGACGGGCCCGAGGGAACCGATGAGGACGAGGAAAGAGAGAAGCAGGACGAGGCTGAACAGCCGCAGCGGGAATCAGAGTGGAAGGAGCGGGGGGGGGAGCAGGCAGACCAGGGGCAGGCGGAGGAAGGGAAAGGCGAGGGCGACGGCAGTGTGGCAGGATTCGGATCCACGAGAACGCCCCCGCTGGGACCGAGAGCGCCGTCCTGAACGACGGGAGCACCGCGCCGATTGCGCAATGCGGCCAACGCTGCAGCGGCACCGCTGTCATGAGACCGAGAACGCTCCGACTGCAGCAACCTACGTGTGATGACATATTGAAGCCCTGTGTGGCCACAATACGCGGAGAGGCGGGCTACACCCCGGCCATCTCTTGAGGGGAGAAGGGGGCATTATTTATAGAGGGTAATTGCAGGAAGGGAGAGAGAGGAGTAGGAAGAGTAGGAGGAAGAGGAGGAGGAGGAGGAGGAGGAGCTGGAGCTGGAGGAGGAGGAGGAGGAGGAGGAGGAGGAGGAGGAGGGGAGGCGGAGGAGGAGGAGGAGGAGGGAGGAGGAGGAGGAGGAGGGGGAGGGGAGGGGGAGGAGGGCAAGCTAGGTGCGCCCGCGTCATATCTGACATGCTACCCCTCCCTCCCATCCCTTACCATGGCGCAGATCCCTTCTCTACTCGCTCAGTCGGATGTCGAGCAGGGCAATGATGCCGAAAGGGTACGCGATGCTTTGTAGAGCACGGCATGGCATGGCGTAGAAGAGCACCGCAAAGCGTAGCATCAACCTAGCATTGCATTGCATTGCATGCCGTGGCATGGCACGGGAAATGACGCCAGCGCTGCAGCGGGAGCACGAGTCGAAACGAGCGGAAGCGCGGAAATGAGGCCAGCGTTGCAGCGGGAGCACGAGTCGGAACGAGCGGACGCGCGGAAATGAGGCCAGCGCTGCAGCGGGAGCACGATTCGGAACGAGCGGGGCCCGAAAATGAGGCCGGCGCCTCAGCGAGAGCAGCATTTTTGGAAACATATGCAAGCGAAAACCCAACTCTGGGGAAACTTGTGTGTAAAAAACAGTACGCGGGGGGGGGTCGGCCACTTTGAAACCGTCATCAGGGGAAGAGGGAGAGTAGTATTCATATTGAGTAATTGTGGAGGGGAGGCGGAGGGGGAGGGGGAGGGGGAGGGGTCGAGCAGGAACATGCTGGTGATGCAGATGATGGCTGCGAAGATGACAACAACGATATGATGGTTGTGGCGGTGGTGGTGGTGGTGATGGTAGTGATGGTGATGTTGATGACGGTAGTGGTAACGATGGTGATGGCGATGACGGTGGTGGTGGGGGTGATGCTGATAGACAGCCAGTCAAAGCCTTTGGACGCCGACCTTAAGAGAGGCGCCTCCCCACAATGGGGACTCCTCCCTGCCCAGAGACGCAGGGTCGTTCCCGTGGGGGTTGAGCTGGGGCCCAGGGGGTAGGAGGATGGTGCATGGGAGATTTCAAAGGCAAAGGTGGGCCCTCAAAGGGCCTGGCTGGACTCCCGCTGCACCAATCCACAATCCCTCAGGCCCCCCACCCACTGCAGAGGAGTATCGTTTAGGTTGGTGATACTGGCAGTGATGAGATGCGTTATGGGATGCGTTGGAGGCAGAGGAGGGGAACAGCAGGAGTGAGGACGGGGTGGGTAGGGCAAGCCATGTGCGCGAGCGTCACATCCGACGTCCTACCCCTCCGTTCCATCCCTCACCATGTCGTGTGTACATATATATATATACATACATACGTAGGTGTATCTATGTATATATACACATATAGATGTATATATGTATATATGTTCGCACTGTCGGGTGTCGAGCAGGGCAATGATCCCAAGAGGGTGCGCGATGGGTGGGACCGCATGGCGTAGAAGAGCACCGAAGAGCACATCATGTCATAGCATGGCGCGGCTTTGCGTAGTGAAGTACTGCATCACAGAGCATAGCACCGCAAAGCATGGTATCGCACACCGCTACACAACACAGCATCGCATTGTATGCCGTGGCATGGCGCCGTCTACGAGAGGACAGGGCCTGTCCAAAATGCCGGCCCCATGTCCCCCGCAACCGTGCCTGCCCGATGTGGGCGCCTTCGACTGCCATGTGCCGTCGCGAGGCGCGGGAACGAAGCCAGCGTTGCAGCGGGAGCACGATTTTGAATGACCGAAGCGCAGATTTGAGGGCGGCGCTGCAGCGGAAGCGCAATTTTGGAAGAACCAGCAACGACCCGATTGAAAAACACATCGGGCAAACCAAATCATGAAATCTTGCGTGCAAAAAGAATACGTGGAGAGGACGGGACACTCTTCGGACAGAGTCAGGGGAGAGAGCAGAGTAGCATTCAATTCGCATTGTGTATTTGTGTAGGACGTGGCGGAGGGGGGGAGAATGATGATGAGTAGGAGGGAGGAGAAGAGGAGAGGGAGGACGACGATAGGGAGGAGAAGGAGGAGGAGGAGGACGAGGCGCAGGAGGGGGATGGGGGAGGGGATGGTCAGGAGGCAGCAGGAACGGGAGGAGGCGGAGGCGGAGGCCGAGGAGGAGGAGGGGGAGGAGGGGGGGGAGGAAGTGGAGGAGGGGGCGAATATCGCTACCCGAGCTACCGCCCACGAGGTTTCGCGGAGGACGCCCGGGCGACGCCTGGCACGGCGCGGGGTCCCGCAGGCTTTGCCGAGCGACACCTCATGGTGATGGTGATGGTGATGGTGGTGAGGGTGATGATGGTGGTGATGGTGATGATGACGACGACGATGATGATAACGACGATCAGGATGAGGATCAGGACGAGGATGGGGATGAGGATGATCAGGATGATGAGGATGAGGATGAGGATGAGGATGAGGATGAGGATGAGGATGAGGATGAGGATGAGGATGAGGATGATGATGATGATGATGATGATGATGATGATGATGATGATGATGATGATGATGATGATGATGATGATGATGACGGACGGCTATGAGCATTGTGATGTGGATGGTGATGTTCTTCATGAGGATGAGGATGAGGATGAGGATGCGGATGATGATGAAGATAATGATGATGATGATGATGATGATTGTCATGATGGCGTGGCCGACGATGATGCTGATTCTGCTGTTTATATTGATGGATGATGCTGATGATAATGGTGGTGATAATGACCATGCTTATGATGACGATGAAGATGTTGGTGATGTTGTTGATGGTGCTGATGCTGATGATGATGATGTTGCTGCTGATGGTTATGATGACAAGGATGCTGCTGCTGATGCTGATGATGCTGATGGTGATGATGATGATGATGATGATGAGGATGATACTGATGATAATGTTAATGGTGATGGTGATGCTGATGATGATGAATAGGGTGATTATGATAATGCTGATCATGCTGATGATGCTGATGATGGCTATGCGGATGCTGCTGATGACGGTGATGATGATTATGATGATCATGATTATGAGTATGATCATGATCATGATCATGATCATGAGTATAATGATGTTGATGAGGATGAGGATGCTGATGCTGATGCTGATGAGGATGATGATGATGAGGAGGAGGAGGAGGACGAGGAAGAGGAGGAGGAGGATGGTGAGTCCGCCGCGTCCTTGTCCTTCTCCCCTTCTCTCTGACTGTCACTCCCCTCCTCAGCAGTGGAGCGTGACCACGGCGAAGACGACGACAAGCAGCTCCTACCGAGGACGACGACGACGACGACGACGACGACGACGACGACGACGACGACGACGACGACGACGACGACGAGCAGCGCCGCGCGCGCTTCGCCCCAGTCCGCGGCGCGAAAGCCGGCGGCGGCGGCGCTGTCGGCGGCGGCCGCGGCCGCACTGCTGGGCGCGGCGGCGGGCGCGCCTCCGCCGCAGGCGCTGGCGCCCCGGGGACGCCAGCCGCGGTGGCGACGGCGGCGGCGACGGCGACGACGGCGCCGGCGGCGGACGCGACAGGGGCTTCGCCGTGCTGTCCTCATCCCTCAACCCTCTCCTTCCCTCTCCTCTTCCTCCACTTCCTACTCCTCTTCCTCCTCGTCCTCCTCATCCTCACCCTCCTTCCTCCTCCTCCTCGTCCTCCTCCTTTCTCCTTTCTCCCTTATGATGTGTTGTGTGTCTTTCTGTGTTGCAAGGCCCCAATGTTATTGGGCGCAGATGCCGGCCCCCTTGCGGGCCCTGCCCCGGGCACTTTGCGGGCGATGTGCTGCGGGAGGGCCGGGGAGGGCAGGGGGCAGCGCAGGGGGGACAGGTCCCCATCGGTCGATGAAATCACGGTAGGTTCGCGTCGTGTCGACCAGCGGCGACCCCGCCGCGGGCGTTCAACGTTGACTGCCGCAGGCGACCCGCAATCGGTCGAATTTGAACGATCCGACGTTTGGGACACGGCCGATCGTTCAAGGTTGAGCAATCCCCGCGTTGTCAGCAACCAGCGCCAGGGTCGACACGACACGAACTTGCCGTACGTATTCCTAGACTCCCAGAGCCCAATCTACTCTAGGCGCCCTCCCACTCCAAGTGTCGAGCGGCGTTCCGTCCTCCCTGCTCTTCGGGGGGCGGGCGGAATCTCCATATGCTCTCAACGCATTCCTACTGCATGTTTCTACCATTACCTCTTCCGACTGGTGGCCTGACGAGACCGAAGAGATCCCCACAGATTGGACCTGAAGCTCAAGAGAGGTCCCCCCATCGCGTTACATATGCACAGTCGGAAAAAAAGGGGGAGTTGCGTGCACTGGAGGGGGGGGCGGATGAGCAAGAGGAAAAGATGAAGGATGAGGAAGGAGGAGAAGGACGAGGACAAAAATCAGCAGCAGGAGCTGGAGTGGAAAGAGCGGGAGGAGCAGAAGGACCAGGAGATGGCGGATGAGTGGAAATGACTGGGCCGACGATAAAAAAGTGCCTGGATCCCCAAAAGTGGCCCGCGTTCCGTAAGGCGAGAGCGCCATTCTGAACGACGGGAGTAAAGCGCCGATCCGAAAATAAGGCCCGCGCCTCAGCGGGAACACCGTCTCGAAAGGCCAGAACCCGTCGGACTGCATCGAAGGCACAGGAAGACCCAGCTCCTGCAGTCCTGCGCGCGAGAGGCAGAACTCGGACAGAGTCAGGGGAGAGAGGAGAGCAGCACTGATGATGGGCACGTACCTGCGGACGGGGGAGAACAGGGGTCCAGGGCAGATGGGGAGAGCGAGGGAAGGGGAGGGCCAGAGGCGGAAGGGAAGGGAGCGCAGAGGACTGGGGAGTGCTTGGAGCATGCCGCCCTCCGTCTCTTCGGAGAGGGTGGCTGCGGTGCCTCAGCAGACGATCCAGACGCAGTAGCTGGGCGAAGAGCACGCGCGGCATGGTTTACACGATATGCAGGCGCAGAATTGGAGGCTGTGGAACAGGTTGCGGCGAAGGAAATGCAATCGGAGCGTGTGCTCGTCTCAATAATGTGGAGCCGGTTCCCCGTTCGACGGCGCCGGCGGTACGCCGTCAACTTCGGTTACCGCCAGGAAACTCGCCGAGCTCTTTCTCTTGTGAGTGGACGTTCCCTGAGCTGCAGATCCCCCTGAACAGTTCGAAAGTGGGGCGGTGGTTCGGAGCTTGCGCGCGTTGCCAGACGTGTGAATATGTTGCGTCAGCGCCCTTCTTGAGCACACTCCCCACCGAGCCCCGGGTGGCCGCGCGACGAGGCCACACCTTGAGGGCCGTCGACCCCGCCCCCCCTACCCCGGGATAGGTCGGTAGAAGGCTGGGATGCTGACAGGTCGCGATTCAGGACAGGGGTCCAGAGGAGAACGGGTCGTAGACTCCGCTTCCTTCATTCTAGCAAGCAGAGGTCGGCGAGGTAGGTGGGGTAATCGCCCATGACCACATGACTATCCCTTCTGCGTGGGAGCTTGCCAGAAAAAGGTGTTGATGTGGTCTGTCGATTGGGAGGCGCGGGAAAGGGGGGCGTGCGTCGGGCAACAATTGTTCTCCTCCGCGTAGGTGGATGGGGGAAACGGGGGGGGGGGGAAGGCGAGGAAGTGCAGGGAAGCGTCGGGGGAAAAGGAGAAGAGGGGAGGAGATGAGGGGAGATGAGGGGAGGAAGGGGGCGCACGAGGAAGGGAGAGGGTCTGAGAGAGGGGAGGAGAAGCGGGGGCACGAGAGGGGACAAGGGGGGAGGAGGGGGCGGATGAGGAGGGGACGAGGGAAATGGCGGGGAGCAGGCACGCAAGTCTGCGATGTCGGTCCGACTACTAGTCCTACCAGAGCAGCGCGGGGGTGACCAGAACCCTCAGGAGTCGGCCTGGGAGTTGCTGTTGGCTGTGGCGGCCCGCCCGAATAGAGGCCAAACATTGGAGGTCGAAGTCGGTCGGGGTCCGAGGCCAGTACACAGTCACCGTCGGAGTCGGCAGGCCGGGAGCCCGAGTCGCATTCACGTGGAACAGAGCCAGGGGAATTGGGGGTGCCAGAGTCGAAGGCCAGGTGTCCGGGTCGGAGGCAGTAGCCGGAATCGGAACATTAGGATGTGCGATGTGAGGCGGGAAAGGAAGGGCGGGGAGGAAGGATGGAGGAATGGAGCTTGGAAGGGGAGGCAGGGAAGGAGGGAGGGGGATGGACGGGGGAGGGGAGACAGGAGAGCGAGTCGAGAAGAGGGAGGGAAGGCGGGTGGAGGGGAAGGATGGAGAGAAAGAGAGGGACAAGGGTTGGTGGTGGGGAGCGGGGGGGGGGCCAGCGGAGCGTCCCCGCGCCGCCAGGTGCCCAGCCTCTTTCGGCTGGAGAGCAGGTATCCGCAGGAGAGACGGTTTCTGGTCCGAGGGAATGGGAAGGAGCGGGAGGGAGGAGGGGGAGCAGGAGGAGGAGGAGGAGGGCATCTGAGGGCATCTGATGATACGGATCTGTCTGTAGAGCCTTGGCACGCTGGCCTAAGCGAAGCCGCCTAGGCGGCCTCAGAGCCGAGCCCGATGGCCCAGTCAGACGAGCCGACTGCCCGCTGCGACCCCTGCTGTCTGAGGCCAGCAGGAGCTACGGCAGACAGCCCACACCAACGAGCCGCATCCAGCAGAGCCGACGAGAGGGCCCAACGACCCAGGAAGCCCAAAGGCAACATCGAGTGGAGACCGGCCGCGGCGACGAAGACCACCCGGGCCGATCCCATGCACCCGCCGCCACGGCCGAGCGCACCCAGGCCGCAGCCTGCTTTCCGACCAAGCCGCCCAGCACATGAAGTTAAAGGCGCCGATGGCCTGCGACTTGCTCAGCACGACGGCGCTCGCCTTCACAGAGTCGACATTGCCGAAGGTCCGACGATTCCATCTTCAGGCGGGTCTTGATCATCACAACGCCTGGAATGACGAACTTGCCGATGAACTTCGACACTGACGTTGCAAATATCGGGAGAGTGCCCAAGGCTTCGATCATCACAACACCCGGGATGACGAATTTACCGATGTACCTCGCACTTGGCGTTGCAATGCTCGCAAGAGTGCTCAAGGCCGTGCTGAGCTTCTCCGAGAAAAACGCCAACCATGTCTCCCGCACAAGGAGGAGGGAGGAAAAAGTGGGGGGGGTGAGGAGGAGGAGGAGGAGGAGGAGGAGGAGGAGGAGGAGGAGGAGGAAAAGAGGGACGGGGAGGAGGAGGAGGAGGAGGAGGTGGAGGAGGAGGAGGAGGAGGAGAAAAGAGGACGGGGAGGAGGAGCAGGAGGCGGAGGGGGAGGGGAGGGGGAACAGGAGGATGAGGAGGAGAAGGATGAGGATGTGGAAAAGGAGGGGAAGGGGGAGGAGGACCGAGGGAAGAGGAGGGGAGGGCTAGGAGGGAAAGGGGGAGTGGAGGAGGAGGAAGAAGATCAGGGCTAAGAGGAGGGAGGGGGAGTGCAGGAGGATTAGGTTAGGTTAGGACAGCCCCGAGGGGAAGAGTCTCGCAAGACTAAAACAAACAATGGGGGAAGTGGCACCCCTCGGAGAGGGATTTGTTACCCTGGAGGACAGAGCTCCCCACACTCTGACCAGGGCCCGCGACGGGGTGCCACGACCCAAAACTACTCCTCAGCCTGGAGGGCCTCCTTGGCACGCACTCGCTCTGCAAGGGCGGCCATCCGTCTCTCGTACTCAGGGACGGTGGGGGCACTCGAATGGGCCGAGGGAACAGACGTACAGGCAAGAGTCTTAGACCGCGGCTTGGGGACCACAGACACTGCAGTGACCGCGGCAGCTCTATCGATCAATTGACGGACACGACTACTGGGGCCCAGGCCTCGCGAGTACTTACTTAGTACCTCGCGTCCCTTCCTAGAGGGTCGTTGGCACTCCTTGTCTAGCTTACGGGAGCACCTCTGGGCCCAGCAGCCGCAACGAACGCACAGAAACTGTAGCCTATTCAACTTGGCCTGCGATGGCTCTGGGGCTCTGGGGTGGATCTCGTGAGAGGCCACACCAACAATCAGGTGCCCCAGGGAACGGCGGACGACCTGACGAACGAAATCAGGGGGCCCAGAGCAACCCAGAGCCTCTTGGGGGGTACCCTCATGGGCGACCACCAGACAATGCTTGCACTGCATACCAAGCAATCCACTCTCCCACTCATGCCACCCAGGAACTGACTCTACAGAGCGGTGACGGGCAAAGGGCCTGACGCGCTTCGCTCGGGACTGGAAGGCTGGTAGCACACTAGCTGCAAGCTTGACAAAATACCTGGCGGTCTCTACTTCAGACTCTAAGCGATTGGCTGCCTCGGGTCCGATGGGAGCGTGCATCTTGAGAGCCCCCTTGGCGTGGAGTCCAGCAGCACGGTTACCTTTCGCAGGCGCCCGCTCCACAAGCGGCAAATTATCTATCACGCCCTCGCTTCGATGCGCCTTAACATGCTGGATGGACCTGATGTGGCCGTGCCCACTGAGGGAACGGGCGAAGGCCGATACGCCAGCGAAGACCTTGCTCGCACGAAGCTGTTCGTGCTCAGGAAGGAGGGCCTGGCTTACTGCTGCTTTACAATCGGCGTGCATGTAGGAACTTCGATCAGCGATCTGGCAGGCGACAGCAATCGAGAAATTTTCAGCCATCGCGGGGGACTGCGGAAAACCTCCAGGCACAGCGCTACGCACTACCGAAAGGGTAGCCTCGGCCTGGGGGTCAAACAGAACTACCGCATAAGCAGCACGCTGAAAACAAGACAAAATCGGCATGGTGCTGCTCCCGTCCACCGCGATGTGTAGGTTATCGCTATGACCGACAAATTGCACCGACTTCTCGGGCTCCAGATCGGGAAAAGCCTCCCCAATACCGTCCAGGACCATGGCCTCGGGGGCCTCTTTGACAGGAGGGATGTCCCCTGGGAGCACCGAGACGACACCTTTCAAATGGAGTAAGTTTCCAGGGTCCCCCCGAGCTTCTTCCAGGAAAGTCAAAGGCATTTCCGCCTCCTCGTCGGCCTGGGCTACAGCTGGGAGCTGGCAGCAACAAAAGCCGATGATGGGTGGTGTCAGGCTAACCACATTCACATCGGCCAGCACGAAGGGTGACATAACCATTGTCATGCGCAAGCTGTTCCGTCCACAAACAGTCGCAGACAGCAGCTTGAACTAAATATTTCTGGTACTTGTTATACTTAGCCTTGGACCTGAGGCAAGACCTGACCACGTCCAGGTTGGCCCTAACTCCTTTAGCAAACCCCCACTTCTCCCCAAGCGACTTCTCATGGGCTGCCTGGAACGCGGTGCTGAACATTTTACCTAGCATCGCAGGGGAGCATTGCGTGAGCTGAATGGTGATGCCATCCTGGTCGACCCACTCAGTGGCTGACACAGCCTTCCACCTTACGCGAGCAAGGCACAGCGGGATCCTGGAGATCGGTCCGCGGGTTTGGGCCCAGGACACATCCGACTGAGCCTGGGAAAAAAAACGCGGTCCCACATGCGTTCTAATTCAGTTAGGCCCACGAGTGCATCAGACGGGAAAGCCACAGCATGCCATAACATCTTCGATCACTGGAGTGCGGGTGCCATGGCCTCACGCGCCGCGGGCTCACCGTGCAAGGCCAGCTTGGCGCGCAAGCTCGCACCCCTCGTCGCGGGCGCCAGGTAGGACAAGGCCTGGCGGCGGATGGCGAGCAGCTCCTGGTCGTCGACGCCGTTGACCTCGACCCCATAGTGAGCTGCCATCTTGATTCTAGTGGTGTAGACTCTTCCGAGCCTCTCGTCGGCCTTCCTCATGGACTTGAGCTTGGCCGCCTTGGCCAGACGCTGGGGGGACTTCCTCAAACGCATCTTCCTCTTGCCAGCGGTGCGGGCTTGCGCCCGTCGCCGTCCGCAGGCGAAGTCCGCGCCGAGGTAGGCGACCGCTGGCTTGGACTTATCTTTGGCGAGGCCGGGCTTCGTGGTCACCTCCATGCCAAGGGCACTATCACTGGCCACGACGGCGACCTTATCATTGGGAGTGGCCTGAAGTCGTCTCGAAACTGCTTGGAACTGCACACCCGCTTGGATCGCGACGCCTGCGACGATGTCTCGGTCGCGGCCGCTCACGTGAACCCCAGCGTCGTCAATGTAGCTCATGAAATCGATCGACGGGTTGCGGCGCACAAACTGGTCGTACTCTGTGATCGTGAAGGCTCGAACCGCAACATCAGCAAATGCACAGCCTGCTGGTAGCCCGAAGGTGGCGAACAAGACTGTGCAACTGTGATGCAGGCCCAGGCAAATGATACGCGGTGACTGCCACGTGTTGAAAATTAACTTGAGAATCGGCATGGGCATGCCGCAGGCAAGGAGGCGACCACGTAATACCTCCAGCGGGATGCCCTCGTAGAACTTGCTGTAGTGCATCAGAATCAAAAGGCTATAGCTGTTCTGGCTGACATCAGCCTCACTGCGCGCAGCCTGCAGCCAAGACAGATCGAGTGCACTACGGCCTGCCAGGGCGCCCCAGTACGGGCGTCGCAGCTGCTGGTGAAGGCCATCGGGGCCACGGCGACGAAGCCTCTGCCAGACACGGTACATGCCCGAGTACAATATTATCAATCGGTGGCCCTGGTCGGGCTTAGCAGGCATGGGCATGACAATGAAGCATAACTGGCGAGGCAATAGACCAATCCGTTCACACGCCTCGAACAGCGCTGCCATGGCGTCGAGCGCAGCGCGAGGAAGTAGCCCAAAGTGACGAGGATGCACTCGATCAAGACTGGCTGTTGTTGTGCTCGGGAAACTGTTGGCCACCTCGCGGATGATGTCCGCGCTGGCCCTGTCCATTGCCGACTTGTTAGGCGTCCAGGCTTGGCTCGGAACCTGGCTAGCATGCCAAAGCTTCTCATACCTGCGAACCTCAGCCTCGACGATATCATGAGGATGTGCCGTAAGCCCTCCAGCAGTACGAACTACCGTAGGGTGGGGTGCATTGGGTACTCGGGTAGCGCGGTGAAGTCCTCGCGCGCCATTGGACGATGCCGCGTCGCACCAGTCCTGCCACCGTTGGCGATCATCCTTTACTTCATCCAGCTCGGCCTTCCGTGCAACAGCTGCAATGTCTCGACGGTACTGCTCAAGAATTTCAGCAGCTCGGCGGCTGTCACGGTGGATCCGAGGGGGCGACGCAGGTCTCGAAATCATCGTCCTGAGAAACGGTTCCAGTCTGGTCCCCGAGCTGCGCATTGCCAAAGAAAAAAACGCCCTGGTCGATGTCAGGCTCGTCAAACTGACCAGGGAACAGGCCATCAACTTGCAATCCTTCCTGGCCTGAGGGGCCACCCACGGTGGCGGCCGTAGGGGCCACTTCAGAGCGTAACTGTGCTGTGGACGGTGCTGGTGGCGGGCCTTGGGCT